ACTCGTCTGATGTGTCCGCCTGTCCAATACCTCCACCTATTACCCCATTTGATACCTCCTCCTCCAGCTGCTCGGAGTTTCCTCCATACCCCTACCCATTCCCCCCCGCTGTCCTGCCCAAATGCCCCGTGCGTCCGATACTTCCGCACGTCTGATACCTCTTCGGGGGTATGGGGGGTTACCCGGCGTGGTCATTTGGTGCACTTGTTGTGTTGTTACGAGGCTAAACTTGATTTTTTTCTTTCGTAGCTTTTTGCATCTCATGCTTTCTAGCTTGGTTGTACCCATCGTACTGTCAGCGACACACGACATGTGCGAGACGGTTGCATAGGCACCTGTCTGCTCAGTGTGGGGGCTATTCGGTGAATGGACCAGAAACCCGGAATCTCCTGCCAAGCGGGCAGTGATTCAAAGTTTCTGAAGCTTGCTGGGTATCAGAAGCATGGGGGTCTGTGTGAATGCGCCAGTCGCGCACATGTTCGTGGCAGTTTGTCGTGCAAACAGAAGCAGTTTCAGGCTTGTTCGATGATTCCCAGCATATGCCTTGCTTTTCGCATGCAGCCATTATTATGGAGTGTAAAAAGCAGGAATCAGTGCAGCGACACCGGATACATGCCATTGTTTGATCAGTTCACAATGAGTACAGCACTGCATGTAGTGATCCGGTTTATGGTCCCGGCCTTCCCTTGTTGTTAAAAAACGCCGTTGTGCAGGCTTTGGAACCGAAGAACAACACAAAGGCCCGCACCTAGCAACAGTTGACAGTGTCATCAACTACCAAGCCGACAACACACTCTTCAGCAAACCTTGTGGCACGGATTTTCCTTGTAGCAGCCCAAAGTGGCAGCATGGCGTGAGCTTCGCGATGGGCGAACATACCAAAATCAACCCTGGACCATTCATCGAGTTCCTAAACAATGTGTGCCCAGCGATTCTGGGAGCTCCGAGGCGGAGCTGCTTCCTCGTTCGCCAGATTGCCAAGCAAGCATGCGTGTAATTTCATCACGTCTCATTGCCCGACCTTCAGGATGAGATCTCGAGACATTTCGCCAGCTTGGAGATGATGAACAAGGTACGCCACTTCATCTACGATGACCAAGACACTACCTTTTTCATTGCTCGCGAGCAGGTCCGGATCCCAGTCCTGCTTGCCTCATCGGATACGTTTCGTTTAGAATCTAGAACCCGCCCGTTGCCATCAGGTTGACCGAGAAGACAAAAATGAAGATGGCAAGAGTTCTGAGGCTTCCATCGCGATCTGTGCAGTACACATTGTGAAACTAATTTCCCATTCCTTGCATGCTGAGGAGAAGGAATATACCATCATCACAGAGAACGAAGTTGTCTTTCGTAGACAAGCCTGTGTACTGAGCTTGGCGCTTTGATTCTGTGGCCCCCACGTCGCACGGCTGTTCTCTCAGGCCGTGGCATTGCTGAAACGGAGCCCTGCGACCTTTCGAGCGGCCTATGAAGGCACCTTGGAAGAAGGCCGAGCGTAGTAGTTAGTAGTGTCCCAGCAGTGCTGCTCTCCTCCCTTCTCGTTTGCATCATCTCTCGCCGATAGGTGCCGTTCCTTCCAACGGCAACTTTACGTCGCACCTCCAGCGCCTCGGCATGCCTCAGCAGAGCGGCTGCCCTTTGCGAATCTTTAGCCGGTAGCGGAGGTTGCTGACCATGGGAGCAGAGTCCGAGCAACCTTGCCTTAACTTCAGCGGTCTTAGCAGACCTCTACAGACAAGATGGCTAGGTGGTCTCCCTTCGAGCTTGTCCACCTCTATCTTCAGAACGGCTTTGCGCCGCTGTTTAACGCGGTTGCGAAGCAGTGCCTTCGCTTGATCAGAAGTTTTTGTAAGATGTGCTGAGTGTGAGCCGCTCGAAGGTCAGAAAGCGCCAACAAGACGGGTGCTGGCGATGACCGCGAGGAACTCAAGGCCGAAGCAGCTCCGACTCCGAGCCCAAAGCCGGGTTGGCCCGGATTTCGGAGGTTGTCCGGCCAGGTCGGTGTCCCGAATGTGATGCGGAAGATCATGGACCTAAGTATGGCGCTGATGTTCTGGCCCCAAGCTGACTCATACCGATGCTCTGCTATGCGAAAGCAACGTCAGGCAGTGCCAGCAGAACGTTGATATCGAAAACATTTCTCTTCCACTAGATCCAGAAATCGCGGAGGTTTGCTGCTTCCTTCTTGCAAATTCTGCTGTTTTTGTTGCTCTGAAAGTCTGGACTGGACTAGACCTGTCTGTGCTTATTGAGGCCTTCGAGAAGGCGAAGTCAGAAGGAAGGCAGCTAAGCACTGACGACTTTAAGGAGACATGCGATCTCGATATAGCAATTGCAAGCGGCTGCTTCAAAAGCGAGAGTGGACCTGGACCGGCCTGAGAGGAACGTATGAACGACTCGACCTTCCAGAATCAACTGCAAAGCGCGGCACTAGATCGTGATAGATCCGTTCTCGAGTTGCAGTCCTCTTCCCTGAGGCGGTGTAAACAAATGGAGCAAGGAGAGGGAGGGTTTGTTTGAGCAGGGCCAGCGGAAGCGAGCTTCGCCGCTTCGCCACAGGAGATTCAACGGGCTGCGAAGATGCAGCGTGATTCATCGACGGGCAGCACGATGCAAGAGATCAATTTCTGGCTCGGCATGGAGAAAGCCAGAACCTTGAAGTTGTCGTCTCATGTGCCTTTGCATACCGACAGTCTGCGAAGGAGAAAGCTTATGCCAGGTCCTCAATGATGCTCAGCAGCAGCTGCAGACGCCGGAGATCCAGCTGACCCTGAACCTCTTACGTGTCCGCCGCCCATAGGGGCAGACAGAACGCAGCAGAGTGCCTGAGTGCCTGAGTGCCTGAGTGCCTGAGTGCCTGAGTGCCTGAGTGCCTGCTGCCTGCGTTGCGTCATCGCCCGTTCTCTTTCTTTCGTTCTTTCGGTGTTCTCCAGGGCGCACGGCGCTTCCTGGCCACCATGCAGTGCACTTAAAGCGGCCTCCGAGCGCCTCCAAAGGCCCCTCCAAACACCTCCAGACCTCGCTCCACTTCCTCGCTCTTCCTTCGTCCGCCCATCCGCCCAGGTCCTTCGAGGCGGACACGGGGCTGAAGCCAGCCATCGAGAAGGTGTCGAATTACCTCAGCTTGCCCAGCCCCGAGGAAAAAAAAGCACGCTTGGAGTCGAAATCACGGCTTACAGCAAGTGCTCGTCGTCGCAGGCTCCGGGACTTCCCCATCAACGAGCTACTCGTGGCTGGTGGCTGAGCCGGAAGGGCAGGAGACTGAGAATGCTCCGGGTTTTCGTGACGTGACCTAGCCTCGTTGCTTGAGTGCAGGCCGTGCGGACCATCTTCAACCATCTGAAGAGAATCCGAAACGCAAATCAGTGAGCGCAGCTCCCTGCCACTGATGGCATCCAGAGCCGTGAATTGAGTAAGGTACCCGCTCTGGAGGGCCTACAATCTTGTCGAAGCTGTCAGCCGGGATCTTTCAGCCCGAGCCCGAGACTTGACAGAAGAGGACTTGGGGACTCGGCTTGCCGCAGGATCGCCTGCTGAAGATCTTGTCAACTCAGCGGCTCATGCAGCAGGACAGCGGTGGCCCCTGAACGCATTGACGTAGGCAGAGGATCGCCCTTCAGCTCTCTCCTTGATCACACACGGCTCTCGAAGCATGAAGACAAGTCACTGTTGAGGAGCAGGCGGGCTACATCGGGTCGTTTCAGTCTGGAAGCGCTCAGAATCAGACTTGAAGCTTTCAGCTTCTGAGCCGTCTTCTGAATGGTAGTCCTTAGAACGCTCCCCAATCCGATGCGACGGGCATGGGCCTGCGACGTGCAGTGCAGAGGGCGAGGGCCTCCTCTAGCTCTCCGTTGAGCAGCGGCACTTTCATGTGAAATTGGGTTTCCTTGCTGACTGTGACCCGGCCGGCCCCACGGAGGCCTCTGGAGGATAAGACTGGTGACCAGACAGCTTCCGCCATGTTAGAGCCTGCGAAGAGAATGCTGGAAATGTGCCTCCCACGTGCTGCCTCGAAGCCATGCACATGACCCTTGGCCCCCTTGGCCCCTCTTTAACCTGTCAGGGTAGAGGAGAGTCAATGTTCAAGGGGCTGGCTAGGCTGTGCAGAGGTCAGAATAGTGCCCTATTCCGAACATTGGCTGCAGAGATGCAAGCACGCGCCGCAAGATTATGTCCGACGCGTGCGATCTGGCAGGATGCAGAGATGTTCAGCCAAAACATGTCCAACTGCCAAGAGCTCTTCCGTGTCTGGAAGGATGAGGCCTTGAAAGGCCGCATGATACAGTTTGAGTTGGTCTCAGAAGCAAAAAAGGTGGGGCAATTTCGGCAGCTGGTCAGGGAGCAGCTGAAAAAGCGCCGTTGCCTCGGCGAGCGCGGCTCACACAAGGAGCCTGGGCAACTGCTTCTCCAAGGTGGCAACGAGCGGCCGACGGTGAAGATCAACTGCATCTTGCCAGCGGAAACACCGAACTGAGGGCAACGCGGAGACACCTCTGCCGTGCCGCGCCGTTGTCAGAGGTGAGCACGAGCAGCTCCAGGCTGGAGCTCCGGAGCTCGATGTGACGCTGTGACGGTCGCGGTCGGGCGCGCATGCTTTGTGGAGGCATCACATGAAGCTTCAAGAGATCATCGAGCGGGTGCTCGTGGATGGCAAGGAGACCCGTGCCAAGGCCCAGGAGTTCTTGAACTGCGCTTGGACCAAACTCTCCTAGTTCGGCGGCTGGGGGCAGGCAGAAGTTGCCGCCACTACCAGCTTGTCGAGCAGGTGCGGCGTGTGTGGCGACCTCGTCTCAGATTCAGTGTTGCTTCGAGATGGATGTCCTGGATGTGAGCCGCAGGGGTCAGCAGGACACCGTCGCGGTTGCGAGGATGTCGGCTGGCAGAGTCACGTGCAGGAATGGGAGAGCACTCAGCGTCGCTACGACGAGCGTGGGGGCCCTCCCTCGGCCGATTCAGGATGCACCATTCGGGAGCCGCTCCTGAGTGTCAAGGTATCGACCATGATCACTGCAAGGCTTGCGCTTGTTCCTGACGGATCTCCTCGTAGCGTCGAGCTGTTCAGGCTGCGCGACAAGCTTGGGGCTGCCAAGACTGCGACGGCCCGCTGACAGAGCGGCCAATCGCTGATCACTCGAAACCCGCCCGTGGTGTCTCAGGAAATGTTCCGCGTCTTCAGCCGGTTCAATGCGCTCTTTGTTCGTCCCCGGATTCGAAGGGCCATCCAGGTGCAGCATGTGGATTCCACCGTGTTTCAGACTAATCTTTCGCATGCTCCGTAGGAGTACCAGTCTTCTTTGATCCAACAGGCCTGAGACTGCGAGAGTGTCCCTGGAGGGCTGAGTGCTGGTTGTGTCGTGCTTGTTGGCTAGACGGCTAGACCATGCAGGTGAAGGGTGAAGGAGGACGTGCCAGGAGAAGTTCAAGGAGACCTATGAGGGCACCCAGGCCCATCTGCAGAGAGCGAGAGCGGTCATGGAGGCTTGCAAGCTCACGGCGATCCGCAGATTGCCCCCAACGGCCGGGCTCATCGTTTGGGCCAGGTCGGAGAGCATCGCCTCACAGCGTGCATGGTGGCCCCCTTCCTTTTGGAGGCAGCTCGAGCGCCTGGCCATCTACATGAGCCGTGTCGAGGAATGGTTCACCTGCTGTGGGGTTGGGGACTGGATGAGTTGCAAGTATCTTCTGTCGAGATTGATGTGTGTGTGTGTGTGTATGTGTTTCGATGGTGCAGTGATGTTTCGAGTTCGACAGCCGTCTGCCAATCATCGAATGCCGAAGTTCTACTGCTGTCCTGGAGAATGTACTTGGCAAAGGATGGGAAAACCATGTGGATGGGAAGAATCTGAAACAGGAGGGCGATGCTTTCGCCAGAAAGACGGTCGGATCTGATGGGTAGGGCGAGGGCGTGATAATACAGTTGACACCCAGGTTGTTAGAGAAGTTTGGCAATTGCCAAGTCCAGGATGAAGACGAGTTTACTCCTTTAAACTTCCCGAAGCAGAAAGGATGAACTCCTTATTCAGTTTTGCACAAATTTCATGTTTGTTTTAAACTGAAATTAGGAATCACGTTTGCAAGTTTTCCGGGCAGTGAGATGAAGTGTGGCTCCGGCTGGCTGATACGAAGGCTCTAGTTGATGTCACCTCGTCTTTGCCGAGTCGTCCGTGAGCCTGACAGACTCACGTGTGAGAGGACTCTAAGAAATTTGATGTGAGTATGCGAATCTTCGACATCCAGCAGGGCTATCAGTTCTGCACTCAGTCTGTTGATCTGCGGGCTGGCCGGGTGGGCTGCAGGCTGTGCCATGCAAAGGACCTACCTGCTATTGGTCAACTTCGATGAGCAGATCATCACGCTCTTCAAGGAGGCGGCGCTGCGGAGTGTGTCGACATCTCGACATGTAGCGTCTGCTTCTCTTGATATAGTTGGGCCTCTGACACCAAATAATCTATCAGCGTAGTAGCGTCGGAGCATGCGGTGCTTATGTAAAGAAGTCACTCTTCCTGATTTTCTCAGGTGCGGAATTTGCAGGCTCTGGGCGATTGCCGTGTAGCACATTCATGTGCGTAGGGACAACCGTCGAATCGACGTGGATGCCGCAGCTGCTGCTGGCTCCACGTCCCCCGACGAATTTTCAGCTCCCAGGTAGACCCTCCCGACGCCATGGCCTACCAATCCGCCGATGTGGTCTCGGCGCTGGACATGATCCGCCGCGCCGTCGCCGCCGGCGACGATCTGAGCCAGCTCTTCGCCGAGTGGAGCGGATTGGAACGGCGGGCCCTGGTATCGGCGCTCAACAGTCCCGCCGCGACGCCAGGGCCCGTCGTGTATGGCGATTCTTCGAGGGTCCCTCCGGCGAGTTCCAGTGGAGTGGCAGCAGCTACGCCGGCGCCGTCGGATGACCCGTGCCCGGAACACCCCAAAATATACAGTGGGTTTCTTGATCGGTTGGCCCAGTCGAATCTGGTGGATTTCAGTGGGTCCCCTGGCATTGAGCAGATCGCAATCTTCTTCGTCACAAAGAAAAACATGAAGTTGAGGATGATAGTCGATGCCCGCCGATCAAACCAACACTTGAAGGACCCTGATTACGTCCATCTTTGCACAGGTGACGGATTGTCCCGCATCGAACTTCTTGAAGGGCCAGACCTTACAATCTGTCAGGCCGATTTGAAAGATGCCTTTTACCATCTCGAATTGCCCCCTGATCTTCGTGACTATTTTGTTCTACCTCCTATTGATGGCCGGTACCTTGCAGGACGACCGCTGATCGGAGGAGAGATCGCTCGCGCTGGCTTCAAAGTATATCCTCGCCTTGCCGTTGTGCCCATGGGTTGGAGTTGGGCCTTGTTCATATGCCAGCGTATCCACGAGCACCTGATTCAGGCTTCGGGGTTGCCAGATGAATTACGGCTTCGTGACGGTCGTGCTGCTCCAGGACCAGCCGTTATGCACACTCAATACGTCGACAACCTCGTTGTCCTGGCTCAGGACACCGGTGCCGTGAAGAGCATGTTCCCAGCACGTCAGCCACTTGAAGCAGGCAGGGTTACAAGTGCACGAGGTCGAGGAGTGCGAAGATGGAGCTTGCGTATTGGGTTGGGAATTTGAGAAAGGCGGCATTTTTTGACCTTTGCGGCGAAGAGTGTGGAAGGCGCGGCTTGCGATTCGGGCCATTCTGTCAAGAAGACGGGCAACGGGAAAGCAGATTGAACGTCTAGTTGGATTGTGTACTTTCATCTGCCTCGGGCGGCGAGAGAGTCTGGCTATCTTTGGATCGGTGTACCAGTTCATCACGAAGTACCGGGATGTGAACCATGAGATGCCCTTGCCACGATGTGTCAGGACAGAGCTGTGGATGTGGGACGCCATTTCTCCTTTGATCTTTCGTGACCTAAAGGCTAGCTGGAGTGATCGAGTCACCGCAGTTGACGCGAGCTTTTGGGGAATGGGAGCCACGTCCACTACCATGACCGATGCGGAGGTTCGGGCCCTCGGGCGCCACAGCGAAAGGTGGCGGTTCTCCATTGACGAGGCGGGGGGTGCACTGGTGGGTGCGCGAGCCGGCGTTCTCAATCAGTTAGATGCCTCTGAGCCTGACGATGGTGATCCGATGAACTTTAAGGCCGTACCATTCGCTGCAGTTGATCGGGCTTGGGTGACGGTGTGCAGTCACAAATGGCGGCGCATACCAACCCTCCCGGTTGCCGAGGCTCGGGCCGTTCTCTTTGCTGTCAAGCATGCTCTTCGAAGGCTTTGACGGCTTCGGAAAGAGACATCTGGTTATAACCGACTCGATGACAGCTGCTTTTGCGGTGAGCCGAGGCCGATCTAGTACATTCCAGCTCAGACGAGTATGTTCTCAAATCGCAGCACTATGTCTCTGTAGCAATAGTCAAGTATCCCTCCGGTGGGTGCCGTCAGAGTGGAACCCTGCAGATAACCCCAGCCGCGGCACATGGGCGCCGAGTGCACCTCAGCGATCGCTTCAGCATGATTCATCGTCACCTTCAGCTGGCAACCACTTCGAGTCAGCCTCTCACGTCCAAGTCCAAAAGAAAGAAGGACACAGAAAGGGTGATGATGGCTCCTGCGGCTGCAGTGTTGGGACCAATCTTGGAGGCACCAGTCGAGGAGAGCCGGGGCGCCAAACGTGTCAAGAGACAGAAGCTTCTCACTCAGATAGGGGGGGACGACAATGGCAGGACTGTGCTCGAAAAAGCTTCGGTGACAGATGCATGCCGAAAACGGTACGAAAACATCTGGAGCGAGCTGGCTCCGCTGGTGACGACCACCCTCGGGTGCCTTCTCTCAGTGTCTCAGATCGACAATGTGCTGTGTCAACAGCTCGAGGAGCAGTTCCTGGATGGGCTAAACGTGGCAAGCGGTCAATACCTGGTGGCCGCTTTCCTGTACTTCAACCCGTCCTTGAAGTCCCCTTCGATGCAGTGGCTGCCTCGGGTCAAGCAGGCGTTAGCGGGTTGGAAGCGCCTCGCGCCTCCGCAAGCGCGAATGCCGATTCCCTACGAGGTGGTTGTACTCATGGCTTGCCGCCCCTTCCTGAAGGGGCTCAAGGAAGTGGGCCTGTTTCTCTTGCTGGCCTTCGCACTCTATCTTCGGCCCTCAGAAGGCCTTCGGATTCGAAGCAAGGACGTGGTGGCACCAGTTCAACGTCGAGGAACCTCGAGCCGCTGGCAGTTCGTCCTCAATCTGATGGAAGGCCAGGTGCCCTCCAAGACAAAGGAGTTCGACGAGACGTTGGCCCTAGATTTGGACTATCATGCACACCTCGGCCAAGCGATACATCGTTGTCTTCATTTGAGTCGCATGAACCTAGAGCAGTTTATTTTCAGCATCACTGCCAAGGAGCTGAACGACTTTCTGGCGTCAGCGCAGCAGGAACTGGAACTGCGACCTCTTGGGCCCCTGCATCTATATCGTCTTCGGCACGGGGGAGCCAGTCACGACTTCAACAGCAAATTCAGGGACCTCACTGCGATTCAGCAACGAGGCCGGTGGAAATCCTTCAACAGCGTTCGTCGTTACCAAAAGGGCGGTCGCGTGGCCCAACTCTTCGGGTCGCTGGCACCCGCCGTGCGAAACCGCTGCCTTCGAGCGGCGGCCTCTTTGCCGGCAACCCTCCGAAGCCTGCGCTAGCTTGCGCTTTACCGGACCCCAAAGTCTTCATCGAAATCTTCGCTGGGACTGGACGGCTGGCAAATGCGGTTGGACGCCACACCGGCTGGCCGACGCTACTGTGGGACATCCATCTTGGTCACTTGGTCCTGATTATGACCTGTGTGTGCAGAAAAATCAAAACAAGTTGATGCAGCGGTTGCGAGGGCACAGAATTATAGCCGCACACCTCGGTACCCCGAGTCTGTCTTTTTCACGAGCCCGTGATTGCAGGCCAGGGCCACCTCCGTTGCGATCCAACTCGCACCCACTCGGGCTGCCAGACCTTTCGGAGGTGGATCAACAAAAGATTGAGGTTGGCAATCGCCTCATGCGGTTTACTGTGCGATTCATGCATGCTTGCACTATTCTGCACGTGCCCTGTTGTTTTGAGAACCCTGCCACTTCAAGGATTTGGTTATGCCCGCCTGTGCAGCGGCTTCTTCGCCTACGCCATGTTTGCTCGCAGCGCGTTGAATACTGCATGTTCGGCACTCGTTGGAAGAAGCCAACCATGTTTGTCGGGGCACACCTCAACTTGGAGCCTCTTCAGCCTTACCTTTGTCACAGCAGTCGTCGAGGACTCTGCTGCCGCTCTCAACGCGAGCACGTGCCCCTGGCAGGACAAAACAATCGAGGACAGTGGCTTACTAAGGTCTCTGAACCTTATCCTCTGCCTCTTTGTCGTCTACTGGCCCGCTCAACTTTTATCTCCAGCAACTTGGTTCAGAGTTTGGTCGGCATGTGATGCCAGAGAGCACGCTGTAATGGGAGTTTCAGTGCTGGTATGGGTGACTTCAAGATCGCTGTACATGTACTTTGCTCCTCACTTTCGCTGCTCCTTGCTACCTGCAGAGCATTCGTGAACGGCAACTGCAGTGGACTTCCGAACTCTGGACAAAAAGAGGAGTGAGCGGTGTCATGGATGTTCTTGAACGAGTTTGACTGTAGTGATTGACTTGTAGAGTGGCCGCATCAAACGATGCTCAAGCTTCCCTCCCATCCCACCCAGAAGCGGGGGGGTGACTTCAAGATCGCTGTACATGTACTTTGCTCCTCACTTTCGCTGCTCCTTGCTACCTGCAGAGCATTCGCGAACGGCAGCTGCAGTGGACTTCCGAACTCTGGACAAAAAGAGGAGTGAGCGGTGTCAACAACTTGATACAGGCCCGCTGCAAATCTCATTGGTGCCCAGATGCTTTTGGAAGGTCGGTGCAGCTCGATGGAGTTCACAATGTGATTAGACATACTTCCCACGGTCATCTCACAGTATCCGGACGAGCAGATGTTTCTTCACGAACGAAAGCACCAGTGCGACTGCATATGTGTCGTATTGGTGTGTACCTAGCTGTGCTACAAGCACATAATTTTCAGAATGCCGTGACGGCATGATGTTCTTCTCAGGAAGCCGCGGTCCAACTTGCAGTGCTGGAGCTTCACATGCAGCTTGCATCAATATCTTCTCTCGTTGCTACGCACTGGGTGAAGCACTACCACGACTGCAGAGCGCTCAGCATGCTTCATGAGTGATTGCTCCGACCACGGGCAGAGCCATGCCTGCTCGCGGCAGGTTTGGGGATGGTGTGCAACCTGCCTTTGCTCCAAGCAGCCCGCTTTGATGCTCTTAAGTTGGAACCTTAAACCGCAAAAGGCACTGCCGCAGAAAGCACAGCCGCTCCCTGCTGTACATTCCCTACCTCAGGCGCGGGGCGAAAGAGTCTGCTGCAACGCACAGGGGTCTCATCGTGCAGCTCCAAGCCGCTCCTGTCTTTGAAGTCATGTGAGTTTGCATATTATGGACTCTCAGGCACTGTTGGATCAGAAGACCCTTATCGAGGTCTACGATCATGCTTCTTGGCCTGGTCCGGGGGCAGAGGGCACTGACGGCCTGATCGTTTACATGACTTCGTCGTGTGCAAAACGAAATGGGTTTTCTCAGCAGAGGTCAGCAGCACTGTGGAGGACATGCAGGCCGGTCTCTGCCGGTCCTTGGACCTTGCGGACGTTTAGACTCGGGCAAGCCCGGAGAGAGCATGTCCAGGAGTATGTCTCAAGCAGGAGAAGTACTTTGGCCCCATTGTGGTGGACTACAGCAAGGCTCCTTGCACCTCTAATTAGCTGCAAATTCACACTGCGCGGAGAGGTCCAGTCCAGGGTCAAGGCCAAGTACGACAGTGCTCTCGGATGCTCCTTCTCACAGATGGAAGCTTGGGCCAGGAAAAAACAGGTGACCATGCGAGTGATAAGAACTGCTATATGATTGACTGGGCTCCTGCGGAATCAGCTTGGGAAGGACTCTTCTTCTATGTCTTCTGTCTTCATGCCTGCCAGCTGATTGGGATCTCAAACTTTCAGTCGTAGAAAAACCGTTGTGGCAGCTACGCCACGCCATGCTTAATACGTGGAGATTGCGCCATGTCTTGGTTGCCAGCACCATCTTGAGCGTCTTCGGTGCAAGCGATGTCGAGGTGTCTACAAGCACTTGCAGCTCTCAGGATTTCGAGGCGTGTCCGCCACGTGGCCAAGGTTTGATCCAGCGCAAGGCTGCTGTCCGCGCAGAAAACATTGTCGATGATGTCGATGTCGGACAGGAGTGCCAGGGGCAGGAGGTCGAAGACAATGCCAAGTTCAATGCCACGGAGGATCAGGGTTTGCGTCAAGGTGATCGCGGAGAAGCAACGACCTGCCCTGAGAGTGTTGGCGAAGGTTGGCGCTTGGTGCGTCGCACAGCTTCGAACACCTTTCCCTACACAGACCAGCTCATGGGTACCATCAAGTACGCCAAAAAACACGGCGATCCGCTTGGGCCCTCGTTCAGCAAGTCCTTCGAAAACGAGGGCTTCGATGAGTTCCTGTTTGCAACCGGTGACTGCAGCAAGTGGATGGTCATGAAGAAGTACGAGGTGCTGAGCTGGTATAGCAATGAGGATCGGCGGATCGAGCGATCGCACACTTCGAGCACACCGTATATGGCCAGGATGTACCGGCGGAAGGGACAGCCCCAGGACCCGTGGATCACCTTCGGGAACTGGGACCAATGCAAAGCTTTGTACCAGGGGGCGAACCGCAATCCGAACTGTCCGTCCGGCGATCTCGGCTGTCGCCACAAAGGATTGAATGTCTTTATTCGGACGGCTTTTGGTGATGCGTCCACGTGCTCTGATTCCCGTGTCGGGTCCGGCTGGCGCTTGGTAAGGCGCACAACAGCCAGGGAGTTTCCGTACGATGACAAGCTAGTGGGTGGATATTATATTCCTCCCATTCATCACAATCCACTAGGGCCGGACTTCCACATGAAGTTCGATCTTGCCAGCTACGACGAATTTCTTTTCGCGACCGGTGACTGTCGATTGTGGGCGAAATGGACAAAGGCCGAGATGAACCGCTGGTTTTCACAGAACCCTTCCAACCAAGGCCCGTGGACCAGTTTCGGACAGGGCTGGGCAAGTGTCTTTCACGAGGGGTTGAACATTTTCATCCGGAGCACCAGCAACGTAGACTATTCTACGATTTCTTCGGGGAGCTGCGAGTCACATGGAATGGCAAGCATTCATGATGAAACGACGTGTTACGCGGCAGTTCGTGCTCTCGGCTACACCATAAGCCGACACTACGTCAATCGTGGTACTGCAGTCCATGGCTGCAGCGTCAGGTTCGACATTGGGGCTAGGACCGCTGGCCGCGTGCACGTTCACGTAGAGGCGGCACGCAGCGAATGTAATGCCGATTTGCCAGGAGCATGTGCCTGCAGGAATGATCCCAACGCGTGCATTTGCCAGCCTGACCCTTGCAAAGGCACAGAGGATTTTTCCACTTGCATGCCTTGCCCACCTGGCTCAACTGGCACTTCTCCGGCGTCTGGGTGCACGTGCGACTCGGGGATTGGAGAGGTCAAAGCGCAGACTCAGTGGCCTGGACACTCTGGCGGCTGCTCCAGCACAGTGATCCAAGGCGGCTTGAACACTGCTCTTTCTGAGCTGTTACCCTTCAAGCCCGTGCTCGCCGATGTCTACAAGAAGGAAGGCTTGCTGTACGATCTCGCAGAGAAGGCTGGGGAGATGTGTACTATCACCGAGGCCGATCATGCCGCCGGCATAGCTGCCAAGAAAAACGAGATGTGCAGCATGGTGCCGAAGTTTATTATCGGCCCATACATGGGCTCGGCCACTTCTGACACTTCACTCGACCACTTTGAGGACATGGAAGATGCTGGCTGCAAAGACTTGCCGCTTCAGTCAAGCGCAAAATATTTCCTGTTTGGTATCGTTGTGCCGGAGATCATCCCCCTCGGCTTTGAAGGGGGCAGCCTTTGCTTCGCACAGCTCATGAACCATAACAGCGTGGTTCATGGAACTGGCCTGTTAATCTTTGAGCCAAAGCTCTTTGTGGGCAACCCAGTAGTCCAGAATCTCAACGTGCCGTACCCCGGCACGGGCAGGACGATCACCGCTGCCTCTGCGGTGACCAGTTATGTCTCTGTCGGCGTAAGCTTCCCATCATCTGGCGATCCGCAGATGGAGATGACCTTCTCCAATGATTTTTGGGGGTGTCCAGGACCGCTTCTATAGATGTTTGATCCGAATGGCTTCATACGCAGCTACGCAGCTACACCGGGATTCACACCTAAACCCCAAGCCCATCCAAACCGAACATCCTGTGAGGGAGGCTTGAACCTCATCTGAATCTTGCAACGCTGTGCTAAGTCTCTAAAGCCTAGCTGAAAGGCTAAGCCCCAGCTCTAAGAACGGTAACACCCAACCCATGAGACTGTCCCAAGTTCTAGAAGTCTGTATGGTTCTGGGCTTAGCGTTTGCTGAGAACTCCTCAACATATGAGGATGTTGCAGGTTTTGGAGTTTCGGGTTTGGGCGTAGAAAGTGGGGAAGATCAGTCCAAACGCCGACCCTAAATCCTGAACGGAGCTGCTGTGATTTTGAATTCGGCTCTTCGGGTCGATGGGGTTTGAGCTGGTTCAATGTGGAGGAGTGAGGGTTGAGTGTTTACTGCAGGAGAATGCAGCTCGATGCGCGGTCATATCTACGCAGCTCTGAAGCTCGATCTCACGGAGTACGTCGACAAGAAGCTAAAGAAGAAAAGCAAGAAAAAGCTCTCCCTCGGCGATTTGTCCGTTTCCTTCGAAGCCAAGTGCCCCGCCTCACCGTAAAATAGTAGTTCTCAAATTAGGTCAGGATGCCCAACCACGATATAAGAATGAAGAGCTTCAGGCTCTAGGGTGGCTCCAGGGAGGCAAGACCATGCACACGCGCAGACCGATGTTTTCGCACTCAAAGACAACCTGGCTTCTGTCGATCATGGCAAAATATGTATGAAGCCTTGCTTTACATGCTTCTAACATTGCCTGTAGGTTGACTTTACAACTCAAGTTGCTAAAGCATCTCGCTTAAGGCAGTAGCGACACCGCAGATCATAGCACATTCACAAAGAAACAGCCCAAAAACTGACCCAGTTTGGAGAACTATCCGTATCCATAGTGCAGCCCAGGGAGTGCCTCGTTGACCCCACTCTCTCCCCACTTTAGGTGCCTCATCGATTTTGATCCGGACCGCAACGGCTTGCAGAGCGTGATCAGCAAGGTGCCTATTGTGGGCAGCTTCGTCGAGGGGACAACGGAGAATGGTCAGCAGACCTCTGGCCTCCAATCGCTCATTGACCCCACCGAAGCGCTGGACTTTCTCCAGGAGGTTTTGCAAACCGACGTGGCCATGGGCATCGACGGCCAGATCACCATCACCATCCCGCTAGATGATTGGTCGCACGGCCTGTTCCGAGACTTGGACATCACGGTTGGGTCCGCATCTATCCTTTTCAAAAAGACGGCTCAGGAAACAGGCCTTTACGTGACCATGGCCCAGGGCGGGTTTGCGAATACCGGAATCATGGACGACATACAGCAAAAAATCCTGGACAAGTTCGAGTCCCCCGCAGTGAAGACTGTTGTCGGCTTTATCGGCGATGGAATAGGAGCGGTGGTGGACAAACTGACTAGTGTGGGGGTGAAGCTTCAGGTCTACCTCAAAGGCCAGTGCAATTTTGACATTTTGGCGGGAGCTTGCAGCAGCCTCGAGTTTGGCCTCAAGTTCACAGCAACCGAGTTTGAGGCATACATCGAGAAGAAGGGTGGGAAGCTGGCCTTCTGCTTTGCGATCAAAGGCATCTTCGACAGCTGTGGAAATGGCTTGGAGAATGTCCTGGTGCTCTTCGAGAAGGGCCTGGAGATGATTGTGGACGTGGTCAAGGACGTTGGGGAATTTGCCGAAAACGCGGGCAGGGAGGTGGCGGAGCTCTCCGAGAGCGCCTTGAAGACAGGTAAGGTGGTGGTGGACAAGATCGGGCAAGGCTTCGAGAATGGAGTCATGAAAACCTCTCAGTTCTTCTCTGCTCGTGGGGAAGAAATCATCGACTTTGCTGGAGATGCTGCGAATGAAGCAGCTGCTTGGACACAAAAAGCAGCAGATGAGGCAGCAAAGTTGGCTGCCCAGCATGTGGGTGAAGCCTTGCAGGACACCTTGGAGTGGACCGGGCAGGCGGCCACCGCTGCAGCTGAATGGACAGGTAACGCGGCTGAGTCTGCAGGCGAATGGGTGGGAGGAGCCGGCAATGACGCAGTCGAGCAGGGCGGCAAGGCCATCGAGTTTGCCGCAGATGTCTTCACAAGCCTCCCCGCCCCGAAGATCTTCGGCGGCTTCATTCGCTGAGCGCTGAGGTTGAGGACAGGAGGAGAGCTAAGGCAAGATAACGCTCTGTCTCACCTTGCGCCCTTGAGCCAGGAAGGTTGTGGAGCAAAACTAGAAATCGTTCGCGGGCAATCGCCAGCTGCTTCCCAGCTGGTCTTCACATTATTTGCAGAGTTTGAGTTGCGGAATTTGTGTGAAATTTCCTGATGATTTGATGCCTGCGTCTTGGGGGCTTCGAGCGCCGTAGTACTTTGGATACACTTTAGTGACTTTAATTAGTGAAGATACCGCCATGTCCGTGCTGCTCCTCCTTCTGGGATTGGTTGCTGCCGACATCGATTACACCGATCACGCTGATGGCCCGGCTGCGTGCTCGGCCCTGCTCCAGCAGAACATGCACAACAAGGCGGCCTGGCAGTTGCCTGTTGTGGCGCTGTCACGTGCTGCCACTATCGCCTTCCCCGTCGTTTTAAACCAATCTCGCTTAAACAAGGCTTGGAATGCGTGGATGCTTTGGCTTGCCGTGGTTTGCCTCGCTGTGCATTGCTTTGCTTTGCTTTAGTTGCTTGCTTGGCCGCTGCTAATTATTTTGCAGATGCCATCAAAGTTGCTTGGCTCGGCTGGGCTTGGGTGGCTTGCTTGGCTTGTGGGTAGTTTGACCAGAATAATGGCGCGGTCGTTAAGAGACGCTCCGGAGCCGGCACATACTTTGAGAACTCAGTACAGCATCAAGATCAAGGAAGTAACGTCAGGAAAGTAAGTAAGCATCAAGCAGCGTCCTGCTTCTCAGCAGTGAAAGCACAGGCGCTGTATTGCACATGTGTTTAGCAGGGCGTTGCCTGGTGCCAAGGGGCTTGTGGACATCGCATCTGGAAATCACATGGGGCAAGCTTCCTCGATGGCTTTGAACACTACAAATCCTGTGCTAAGCTCAGTTTGAAGCTGGGTCCGCTGTTCTGCATGAGCTTTTGCATCGCCACGAGATCGCGTGTCGTTTAAGTTCTCATTCGTTTTCACATTTGTTTGTTGTCCTTTCGCCCCGAGCTGAGGGCTGTTCTGAGATGGGCTGGAAGCTGGTGTTCCGACAGACTCTCCCCTACCTGTGGCAGAAGGATATCCTCACATTGCTTCCTGGCTTCACTCGTCGACGCACGGGACACGCGACATGTCACTGCGAGTGAAGTGTGAAGGAACGAGTTCAACCCCCGCGCGAGCAATTTTGCCATCTTGGACCACCTCGACAAATACAAAGTTAACGGCAAGTTCCACTTCAAGTAACAAGGCAGCAAAGGGGGCACTTGGCACTGGGCACCTTTGGCAGTAAAGTTTCCCTTCGGTTAACACAGCGCTTGAGATTTGCTTGTTACTGGCTGCCTGTGCTTGTTAGGCTGACATGGCCGAACAGCGGTTTGGCAGACCAGATCTGGAAGCAGACCTCTACGCCCACGACCAGCAACCAGGTAACTGGCTATGCGTCTCAGCACATCCAGATCACTTCACCATGTGACCCCAAATACCGAAACCAGATTGCGACAGATTTAGTCTCGAGTCGACACAGCCATTCGAGATACCCCCTTGTCCTTATATTGTGAAACATTAGGCAATTAACGTATATGTGTGCAGAGCGGCGCAATTCAATGCGATGCTTTAGCCAAGGAGGTCGTGCAGGTGTCGCACACTGCCCATGAGTGGGGCGGGCTCCGAACCGGACACAGCAAAGCGCTCCTGGATGGCTCGAACGGCAACAAATGGTGACGCAGCTTGAGCACGCAGGGCTTATGATGAAGTACATGAGACGGTTTTCAGTGATTCATTGCGAAACCTTTGTCAGGTTCTATGCTCTGGGTGCATACACGTTCTGGAAGTCTGCCTACCCAGGCGAGGCTTGAAATCGAACTCTGTAACGCTGACGAGAGCTCTGCATCAAGAGGCCCGAACAGTCCGGTGGAAATGGTGGAGCTCTACGTCCACACAAAGGTGCTGTTGGTGAGCATGTGTTTAGCCAGAAAATTCTTGCTTGTTCGGTTTTTATACCTCCCCATCCAGGCATGTTGAGTCAGAAGCCATACGAAGCCTCCTGAAGCCTGAAGTTTGTTCCGGTCAGCGTTGAGGCTACATCAAAGAAGGCGAGCCCCGTGAAGCCCAATCGGTTTGAACTCCAAACCGTTTAATCGTCCAGCTCGGCTTCTAAACGATCACGGCAGGGCAATATTCAGAGCTGAAAGAGTTTAGGATGAGTTTCAAGATGCGCTTCAGGATTTTGGAAGCTTGGGCCGAATTGTTGCAGGTCCCGCCGCCGTGCCTAGAAACTTCAGCGTGTCTCGGCGATGGCTTTTGCTGGATCTTGAAACCTCGAAGCCCTAATCCCGCGCATCCTTGAAACTCTACGTAGAAAAACTTGAATAAACGTCCATGTAAACTAAGCTGGGTCCCTGATCCCCATGAGACTTCAAGCCGAAGTCCTAGATTTTATTGGAGGGAAGCAAGTAGCGCGAACTTAGGCTGCCGAAGCTCGGTAAAAGCGCGATAGGCCAAATGCCACAGAAACAGACTGATATCTTGAGCACATGGTGTTCAAGCCTAAAGAGTTCACTGCCAAAGCCTGGCCCAGCATTTGCTGCAGGATTGTCCTTAAAACGGCTCCCAGGGATGGTCTGTGCCCAACCTCAATCAACCTCAATCAACCTCAAAGCCTCAAGAGCACGAAAGACCGTTGTGGTTCGTGTCGGGGCGTCGCACTTCTTATCTACATCCTTCAGATATTCTGAGCACAAGTATACTTGGAAGGGAGCAGAAGCTCGTCGCAGGCTTCCTCCGACCGCTTGAGGCTGAAGTCGGGCCACCATGTTCGACCCCAGGCTTGAAGGCCTGAGCAAACATTCAACCAGTAACATCTATCAAAACCTCTTGTTGCTGACACTAGACCTCGACCATGCGCACATTATTCCGATGTTGTAATAACTTAAAACCTACCAAAAAAGGTGACCTAGACAACTGCACGACAAGGATCGGCGCCACAAACATCGCCCTGGACCGCGACCCTGTTGCCGCTTGGATCAGCGTGGGGCATGGGCCTGAACGGGTTCAATCCTCAAAAGGCTTGAGCCATTAAACGGTTTTCGTGACCGCCTCCACCCCGTCACCTCAGTGCAAAGTCGAGCGAGCGGCTCCCCACTCCAAGATCGAGCCGCCTGGTGCTCGGCAGACTCGGCATTCGTGTTTCACCTCGCGAGCCAAGGTCAGCTCCGAATGCTACACATCCCACAACCTTCGCCACTTGGCGATTCCAAACATTGCCACTAAAAGAGGCCGAGGCCGAAGCCGCAAGATACGACCAGGAGTTTTTCAAAGTACTGTATCTGTCGACTCGTCGAGCCGAAGACTGAGTTTCAGACTGGGAAGACTTTCAGTCACTGAGGGATTTGGAGCTTGCAGCCGTGTTGTACACAGAGGTAAGGGCGACTTGACTGATGGCGACACCCGGACTCATTCCACCGCGACCACCGAGTGCCGTGTCTCAAATAACCTGAATCCCCAAACAGCATTAGCCGTGGGGCCAAAATGATTTAATCAATTGAACATAAAATCCCGTGGCCTCTGGAAATCAACATCCGGAACGAGACCAGGTTACATGCCGAGAAGCCCCAGACTTGTTGTCTCCAATTTTTATCATGGGAGGGTGTAATCAGGGGAGCTAATGATGAGGGGAAATGGGAAGGGCACTGAGGGAGGAACGATAACGGAGAGACCAGACCAAATGTACCCTTTCCCGTTGATCGCAACGAGGATTGTCATCGAGGTTTGCGGTTCAGAGGGTAAGAGCTAAATATCCTTAAGGCCACTTCTGCATCATATACCTTCTCAAGCTCTGGTTGAACTTCCACGAAGCGAAAACAGGTTTTCATTGTGGGGCCATCGCAGTTCTTGCCAAAAATCCATTGCACTTTCGGGATAAATCAGGACACGATCGACATCCAAATGTGAACTACACTCGCTCGTTATACAAGCAAATGTTGTTACCATATCGGCTTGTACTTGTAGGTGCTTTAAGTCGCGCAGCAGCTCGAAGCTAAGTAAAAGCCCGTGCGTTGCACACCAATTGTGTACTTACCTTCGGGTCAATATCCAAACTGGTAGCGGACGGGAACCTGCGCAATCCCACATGCGCAAGCTCAACGCCACCCCCACCATCCACAACGGACGCCAGGACAAAAGCCATCACCTTTTTTGCTCGACCTGTTTCGGTCGCCGGACTGCGACACTTTCTTGTCGGATCAGGTTATGGAACTCCCCTTGAGACCAGAAACGGGTCACACATCCATCATGGTGACCCTCTCAATTTTCACGGTCACCTGACTGGGAATTTGGGACGCCTGTGCGCCTCAAGCTCCATTGCTTCCTGTCAATGGCCGGCCATGCAGGTGTAAGTCTAAGTACGTAGGACCTTTAGGGTTTATTTGGCGTAGAGCTCTGCTCTGTGTATCAATATACACGCGTATATGTACGATATTCAAAATTCAAAGAGCTTACAGATTTTAAAGACGGCAAAGTCTCTAATTTTTTAAATCGTGTCGACTTCAAAACATTCAAGAATTTAAATAAGCAAAATCCTTTAACTCTTGTAAATTTCTACATCGTCAGGAATTCAAATGTTGGAATTCACAGCATTCCAACTTTAAATCTTTACAATCGCCCGGAATTAGAAATTTCAAGACTTTAAAGAATTTGCAAAAATTGTAAAAAATCTTTACAGCTGGACCCTAGCCCAGGTCCCAGCCTCGTCCGGAATCAACAAAATTACAGAAGTCAAAACATGTAAATGCGGTAAATTCTCCAAATTTTCCAATCTTCCGGATTTAAAAATTTACAGAACTGAACAATTTAAATACGGTATGTTCGTTTACATTGTTACGTCGTCCGGGATTGCAAACTGAAAGGGTTCAACAGGATTCAGTGCGGGGGGCTCTTTGGGTTCTTTGCGTTAGTAAATCGTCCGGCAGTAAATGTAAAGCCTTCGGCCAGATCACAAACCCAGCCCACCCACCAGCCCCACCCACCGCAACGGCCAGCCCTCCAGCCAACTGGCCCACCCACCAGCCCAGCAGCTACCCACCCAACCCACAACCCACCCCCTTCGCAGACCCCACCCGCAGCCTCCAGCCACCTGGCCCAGCAGGCATCCCTCCGGCCAACTGGCCCACCCACCCACCAGCCTCAATCGTTCCGGCTTTGAGTGTAAGCGAACAAGTCAAGCGCAGCAAGTTTTGCCCAAGAATCGATTGGCAAGATTTGCTGCGATTGGGTGTTGCTTGATTTAAATTTACCCGCGAACAAGTCGATCGCAGCGAATTTTGCCAAAGAAACGGTTGGCAAAATTTGCTGCGGTTGGTTGTCTCCTGATGTACATATAACCACGAACAGGTCAATCGCAGGAAATTTCGTTGAAGAGTCGGCTGGCAAAACTTGCTGCGATTGGATGTTTCCTGGCTTAAAACTACCGCGAACAAGTCAATCGCGGCAAATAGCGCCAAACAACCGGTTGGCAAAATTTGCTGCGTTTGGGTGTTTCCTGATTCAAAACTACCACGAACAAATCGATCGCGGCAAATTTTGCCAAAGAGCCGGTTGGCAAAATTTGCTGCGATCGGGTTCTTCCTGATTTAAATGGAAACTCGAACAAATCAATCGCAGCAAATTTCGCCAAAGTATCGGTTGGCAAAATTTGCTGCGATTGGGTGTTTCCTGATTTAAAACAAGTCGATAGCAACGAATGTCGCCAAAGAATCGGTTGACGAAATTTTCTGCCATTGGGTGTTTCCTGATGTTCATATAACCACGAACGGTCAATCGCAGCAAATTTCGCTGAAGAGTCGATTGGCAAAACTTGCTGCGATTGGGTGTTTCCTGATTTAATCCCACGAACCAGTCAATCGCCGCAAATATCGGCAAACAACCGGTTGGCAAAATTTGCTGCGATTGGGTGTTTCCTGATGTAAAACTACCACGAACAAGTCAATCGCAGCAATTTTCGCCAAAGAATCGGTTGGCAAATTTCCCCGAAGTGCTGCTCCCAGAAACCACTGACTTGGCCGGCATCCTGTAGGTCCTCGCCTGCAGGCCCCTTGACACAAGTAACCGACTTGAAGTGAGCCTTCATCTTCCTGAGTGGTGTCCAATCAGTGTATACCTAGCCTGTCTTGTTGCTGAGTTGCGGGTGCTGCGCGGGAAGCTTCAAGGTGATGAAGTGGATTCCTTGTTAGGTGGGGCCCAAAGGTTCATGAGACATCGATTTATACAGCTTCCTGTGAGGCTGCAAGGTGGGTTCAGGCTTTGAGCATGACGATGTTTTCGATGTCATGATGTTTCAGGTGCCAGAATGCGTTAAGCAGCTGTGTCCATGTGCTTTGTCTGATGTTGGGGACAGCTGCTACACTCTGGAGCGAGTTGAGTGGCCTATGTGTGCCAATGTAGCTGACGAATTACATGGGTTGGCTGAGGTGCATAGGTCTATGTGCGGCTTGTTGGAAACCCAATCTGAAGAAGTAGATGGTCAGTCCTCCAACTGTGAGGCTGAATGGCTTGATGAGATTCGGGGCTTGGAGCTGGAACTTCAAAGGATGAGAGGGTTAGAAGAAAGCTTGATGTTGTTTTCGGAGGCTCCAGTGCTTCGGAGTGTTAGGCTGTGTGTTGACGATGAAGGGGAGGCTGAAAGCGGCCATTCGGACGGGAAAGGTGACGAGTGCAGTCTGGGACAGGATAGCGTGAGAGCTGTGCAGATAGACGACGACGACGATCCAGCACCTCTTCAGCCGAAGATTGTTGCGCAGGACTCAGGACCAAGTTCGTCGAGAGCTTGGAAACTGGCGTGGATCTATAAGAAAGGTGGTAGAGTCGTTAGTCAAGAAGACTGAAGCAGTTGAGGATCTCACCGAGGGCCAGTACAATGAGCTGGTTGCGGATCCCGGATGGCATGTGGAACGGATGCGGGAAAAATGGTGGATGTCTGGAAGCCTGCTGGACGTCGTAGGGCGAGAGCGGTGGGATGCGGAAATTTCTGCAAGCATGATAGCAGCTCTCAGAGAGCAGACCTTTTTGCTTGTGGAGCTGGGGCGGAGTCTATTCGTATGATGGTCCGAAGGTGCTCCATGGAAGCTTCATGGCATTTGGTCTCGGTTGATGTGAAAACGGTTTCTTTGCAAGCTCCGCTCATGGAGATGCAAAGAGACGGGAAGGTCAAAGTCACAGTCGTGAAACTTCCGAGAATCTTCAGAGAAGCAGGGGTTACAACTGCTAAGTACCGGAAGGCCAAGAAAGCGCTTTATGGGCCGAATTCGGCGCCAAAATCGTGGAGCACTCATCGCGACAAGGTGCTGTCTGATCTCTGTATCAAGCATGGTGATAGCACCCTTAGGCTTCAGAATATGACGGAGGCCGCCAATCTCTGGCATGTTCTTCAGTGTCCTAGTGTGAATGCAGATTCGAAGCAGGCTGTTGAGGGGCAGGGATTGCAGGATGCTAAGCGTGTTGGCGTCATAGCTCTCTATGTGGACGACGTTTTAGTGGCATCTACCAAAGATGTGGCACAGGTGCTGGTCCAGGGGTTGGAGTCCCAGTGGGAGCTCTGGTCCCCAGACTGGATATCTGCTGAAGGTAATGCCCTTAGGTTCGCTGGATTCGAGCTGGAAAAGGCGCAGCATCAGACTTCACCAAGAAAGTTATACCAAAGATCTGCCGGAACAGTGTCAGGACACAGTGCCTGGTGTTGAACGCGGACCGATCCTGTTGATCGCTCAGAACAGCTGGAGTTGACGACGAGAGCGCAGTCTACGATCGGACTATTGCTTTGGCTGGCGGGGCGAACCCGCCCTGACATAGCCTATGCTGTGAATCTTGTTGCAGTGTACGGTGTAGCTCGTGCAGAACATCTGATTTGATACCTCAGGTATGCTCCGAGAGTCGGTCTTCATTACAGGGCCAGCTCAAGTTTCAGGGCCACTCAGGAATGAAGGCTCCTTCTCTTACGGAGGCGGGGAGCCTGTGAGTGAGAAGAGTGGGCCGTTCAAGGTGGTGTTTGGAGAGCATCGCCGACGCCGACTGGGGAGGATGCAAAAGAATCAGGCGGAGCCGCAGCTCGATGCAATTTTATGCAGGAGGCTCTTTAATCGGGTCAGCAGTGAGGACCCAGCGGTCCGTAGTCCCAAGCTCGGCAGAGTTCCTATCGCGATCCTGAGTCGAGGCCCCGTACTTGCGGGGCTGCCTGATTTTCTTGAGCAAGGGCGAGTTCGATGTGAGCGTGGTTTGCCGTCGTGACAGCGCCTTGGCCCGGGCTATCACACAACGCCTGGGATGCAGGCGTGTGCGCCACCTCCAGGCAGGTTGGCTCTGGGTACAGGCCTAGTGAAGGACCAGCTCATCATTGCTGAAGCTGATCGCTGTTAGGCCCAAGCCCTGCACGCCTTGCACTTGGCTGAGCATCAAGATGAAGCGGATCAAAGCCTTCACCTTGTTCACTCGGCCGCATTGCTGCTGAAGGCCTTGATGGCCTGGCTGCGGGATCGCCGCTCATCTGCCGCCTGCTTGTTGGTGTTACCGTATGCCTCGGCCCGGTGTTCATGGTGCACAACAGGTCCCGGATTCGTGCCCCTGCTTGGGGCTTTGTCCCCACGTCCGAGGGCCGAGGGGTTCAGCTCAGTGCCCCGGCAATCGGGCAGATGATGGCTACAGTGATGATTGGTGTGCTGGCGATTCTGGTTGTTTGTATGCCGCGTACAAGCTGCTTAGCCGGAGCACGGAGGAGTGGCTCTTTTCTGAGGAATAACAGAGCTTGAGGCACTGTTTTCCGAGAAGTTCCGACAGGAGGAAGCACGGTGCTGTGACCTTGCAGAAGCGAGTCTTGGGTGCCGAAGTCTGCAAGAAGCCGTTGAAAGGCTGAGGGCCCAGCAAGCACCTGAGACGGTGCATGTAGCGAGTAGCAGGACCGCAGCCAATTCTGTTGCCTTAAGGGTTTGTTTCGGCAAAAGCGGCGGGCTCGACTAGATGCCACTCCGTGGTCTAGTCCAAGTCTTTCAAACCATACAAAGCGGTCGTGAGTCGTGCCAGATTCCGGTTGTTCGTTTCCGCAAAAGCGGCGGGCTCAGGTCGATTCCACTGCGTGGTGCATCCAACTTGTTTCTCCAAGCTTCAATGGCTAACAGCCAAGCCATGCGCAACCTTGTAGCAGATTGTTTCTGGGCTTTTTGCCAGCCCCGATGGACCGCAGCCAATTTAATTCTGTTACCTTAAAGGTTTGCTTCGGCAAAAGCGGCGGGCTCGAGTAGATGCCACTCAGTGGTCACCAATTCTTTCAAACGACCAACCTTGTAGCAGATGCATTGTTTCTGGGTCCTTTGCCAGCCTCGAGGCCCATTCTGTTGCCTTAAGGCTTTGTTTCGGCAAAAGCGGCGGGCTCGATAGATGCCACTCCGTGGTCTGCCCAAGTCTTTCAAACCATACAAAGCGGTCGTGAGTCGTGTGTCGATCCAGATTCCGGTTGTTCGTTTCCCCAAAAGCGGGCTCAGGTCGATTCCAATGACTAAAAAAATCAAAACCCAAGTTTCCGTTGGAGACGCCGAAATAGGGGGAGGCCTGCAAAACCAGGAAATCCGTGAAATTTGCAAACGGCTGCTCCTTCTTCCAGCAACCATCCTCGAAAAACCTTTCATTTTCCGTGTTTCTGGCCATTCGCAACTCTCAGATTCGGACCTACCACCCGTGTCGTGACTGCATAAGGGCTGATGGGTGATTTAAAGTGCCAAACTACTTCAGACGGTCCACATGAGTCCACATGCCTATAGATAGGAGGGCCTGTGGACCGAAGCGGGGTGCAACAAGTGTGACCCCAGCGCCGGATCATACGCACTATCCAATGCAGCCCTGGATTACCAGCGAGAGAAAAGGATTTCATATGTAGTAGCATAACAAGTTGTTAACAGGTTGAGTGTGAGCCACACGCACGGGTCAGTGTGTAGAAGCCGAGGTTGCTACGAATGTGTTCTGTTGCCATATCGTGTTGTGCAGGCTCCTTTAGTCCAGCAAAAGCCCGTGTCGCGCATGCCACTTCTGTACATACCTTCTGGTTAGTGAACCAAATCTTCAGAAACGTATTGAGATAGGAAACGTGGAGATGCAGACCCCACACTATTTACACCAAAACCTTTCGAGTTGCCATACAACCTTTTTGTGAGGTTTTGGAGTGAATAAATAAGCCTCATGAAAGGTTCTGGCATTCTTGCAACGGCGAGACAGAGTCGGCTAAGGCGGAGAGTTGCGTTTTGAGCACATCGCGTTCTTTCACACTCGCTTGGGATTTTTCCGTATTTGTTGCATCGATTAATTTCAGGTCTTGGTGTTAAGATAGGGTTTTCGTTGGATATGGGTTTGATGGTTTCACGCACAAATACGTCAGATTAAGATCGCTGCTGAAGTTCAAGCTTGTGTTGCCTCGGCCAGGTGGTGCTCGGCCAGGAGACGTGCGTGCGCGAGGCGCTTTTCCGGACTGTGGGTTTTTAGCCAGAGTATCCAGCCTTCACCCGCAGAACCTCAAGTACCTAAAGTCCTAGAGATGGTCAAAACTGTAAAACTTTCCACACTCACAGGGCTGCTGCGTGCTGATGACAGTGACAGTGACAGCACCCAGCTAGGGGGTTATGTGAGGGTTCGGGGTTTAGGGTTCCTTTAGCCCGGCTGCAACTTCAGCCCCCCCGGCCCCTCACCGAAATCGCTGCGTAAAGGGGACAGCAGAAGCTCCTCATTTTCCGTGTCCTTTTCCCCCTTCATCCCCGTGCAGGTGAAGATTTTCTCTCGACCTGACAGAAGTTCATTTCAATCGGCGGGCGTGAATGCGGAACTTCGGCCGAGCTGGTTCACATGCTGGATCATGCTGTTTTGCACAGAATTTGGCGACTGATTGTTGGTCTTTTGCAGCGTTTACATGCAACATTGCACCCCTCCCAAAGCCAAGAAAGGAAGAACTTCAGCACTTCAGCAGTTTTTCTCCTGAGATTATTCCAACCCGAGCAGATAATTCTGATGCCCCACTCGCACATTTTTTTCCACTTCCGTAACCCTTGTGCAGCAGCTCGTTTCAACACCTTTTCCTTGGCCCCGCATCCGATTCAACTAAAAGTTCATTTCACGCCACATATGGTTTGTTTCCTAGTCTTCCACATATTCTGTGACCTGAACCCGTCGTACGCATACGCAAGAACGCATGCGTCCCTCCATGCCTCCTCAATGTGGCATTTCTTCCCACTAGCCGTCTGTGTCTCTCTGTTTGTCTGTTTGCCTGGCTGGCTGGCTGTCTGTCTGTCTGTGTCTGTCTGTGTCTGTCTGTGTCTGTCTGTGTCTGTCCGTGTCTGTCTCTGTGTCAGTCTCTGTGTCTGTCTGTCTGTCTGTCTGTCTGTCTGTCTGTCTGTCTGTCTGTCCGTGTTTGTCCGTGTCTGTCTCTGTCTCTGTGTCTGTCTGTCTGTCTATCTGTCTGTCTGTCTGTCTGTCTGTCCGTGTTTGTCCGTGTCTGTCTCTGTCTCTGTGTCTGTTTGTCTGTCTGTCTGTCTGTCTGTCTGTCTGTCTGTCTGTCCGTGTTTGTCCGTGTTTGTCCGTGTTTGTCCGTGTCTGTCTCTGTCTCTGTGTCTGTCTGTCTGTCTGTCTGTCTGTCTCTGTCTTTCTTGCCTTGCCTTGTCTTGCGTTGCATCGGAATTGTAGGCCAGGCAAGGAACCCATTACCTTTGGGTCACCGTAAGGAACTGACAGCTGATGAAAGGAGAACTGTGAGCATCTGTAAGCTGCGGAAGCTGCAACTTCAGCGAGCGTGAGTCAGACACAAGATACGGCACGTGTCGGGTGCAAGAGCCGGTCAAATGAACGAGCACGAGTCGGAAAAAAAATCATGCAGGAGAGTGACGACCGGGGAGGATTCCCAGCTCAAAGGCCTTCGCGATCGCCTCCCACCCCCCCTGGAAAAAGGCTTTCTTACTTCAGGAGCGGTCCGCGTCAGTGTCCGCGTCGAACACTCCTCACGAAAAGAGCTTTTCCACCCTCCCAGCAATTGCACTGCACCATAGCGGCGGAAAGAGGTGCGTTGTGGATTTGTGTTCCGGACTTCCCCCTCGACGTTCCTCCCCAGCAGCATATTCTGTCAGTTCCGCACCCCCTCCAAACCCACAGGTTCCCGACACGCCACCAGTCATCCGCTTGGCTTATCTTGTCCTGTCTCTTCGTCTGTCCGCCTGGCTGCCTGGCTGGCTGTCTGTCTGTCTGCGTGCTGCAGCTTGCATATTGACACTGTATTTCGGTACAGTTGCCGAATCACGAGGAGCCACTAAGGCCTATTTGCAGTTTAGGAGCGAATATGTGGCCGGCTCGTGAAATGGTCGAGTTCTGCACCAAACAACTTCTAACAATCCATGAAAATCCGAAGATGTCCCAAACGAGATCCATCAATTCACTGCACCTCAGGACTTTTCATGGCACAAGGAGATAGCAAGTTCGGGATGAGCCTTCGGGGGACGATTGTGGGTTCATGCGGACTTCACCTGACGAGTGGAGTTGTTCTGCGTCTCCTCGAGCCAAACTCGCCCTTCAGTTCAGGAAGTTCTGGTGAACGGACAGTGGCAGCAGTGTGGAGGACTGTTTTTTGTTAAGAGCAGGGTATGCGCACAAAATTCTCCGTGCAAGGGGCTTTGAATGTTCGTGTTCGTGTCAAGTTGAGAGCTAGCAAGGGCTGAGCGTGGTGATGGTGAGAACAGATCTGCACGATCTTTCGGAGTCGTCCTAAGTGCAGGGTGTCGTTGCTCTGGGGTGTCTCCTAATCCGTTGCTGCCGCTGCCGCAGCCCAGAGCCCCAAGACTTCCAAAGCCCGAGATCAACAATACGCTTCACAGGAGGGTCCTGGGCGTGTTACTGCGGCCACAAAGCCTTCCCAAGCTGAAGCTCCTTCAATCTCTCAGGTATACAGCGGCATCGGCGCCTCCAATTAGATCAGTAATTAGCAATCGCTTGGACTCTAAACGATGCCCTGGTAAGTCCACGCGATGGGGGGTCCTCAAACCTGTCCCCAGGCATTTCAGCCACCCGAAGCCCTCTAGCCTTGAAAAGGCTTCCAGGAGCGTGAGGAGAGGCCAACAACAAAGCCCAAACTCAATTCCCAACGCTCGCAAGCTCTCCGGTCAAATTTATCGTCTCATGGCCTTGAGAGGCACCTCCACTGACGTGGGCGTGCGAAACTTCTTCACCTTCCAGTGTGCGCTTCTCGGCACCGAGGCCGGGCGAATAGGGAATTGGAGGTTTTGTCGTGTTGTCCTGAAGTCCGGAGCTGGATGAATTGTCGATTTTTACTGAAATCCGGAGCCAGGTGACTAAGAATTATTACCGACTGCCAGTACTTGCTACTGAAATTCAAAGCTTCTCCAGATGAGCTTGGATGAAGCTGGGAGACATGTCCTCGGTCATCGCCTGGAGATGGTGTTCTTTTGCCTGAGTGGGGCAAGTTTCATGCTTCTTCTGCCCAACGTCAGTCATACACTAAGGATTCTCCCGGGTCTCAACGACCCCAAAAAGACCAGCTTCCCGCAGGTGCGCATCATCCGCCATGGAACGGGTGCTATCAGCGTCTCGGAGATGGAGGCGCTCCACAGGTTCAGATTTCCTCTGGGTTGGCAGCTGCAGCTGTGCAGCCAGCACGAGAGTGCCAAGACTTGAGTAGCTGGACGGAGACTGTCAGTTAGCCTACGGCTTTGGTAGGGCCTCTGTTGGGGTCTCTGACGCAAAAACTCGCAGGTCAAGGCCTCCAGCGACTCTTTGCCGCTGCCGGTCTCTGTGCCCGCAAAGACTTCTCGGGGCTATGGTGCTTACAACAGACCCCCAAAAGCCAGATGAAGCCTCCTGAAGCCTGAAGTTTGTTCCGGTCAGCGTTGAGGCTACATCAAAGAAGGCGAGCCCCGTGAAGCCCAATCGGTTTGAACTCCAAACCGTTTAATCGTCCAGCTCGGCTTCTAAACGATCACGGCAGGGCAATATTCAGAGCTGAAAGAGTTTAGGATGAGTTTCAAGATGCGCTTCAGGATGAGCTTTGGAAGCTTGGGCCGAATTGTTGCAGGTCCCGCCGCCGTGCCTAGAAACTTCAGCGTGTCTCGGCGATGGCTTTTGCTGGATCTTGAAACCTCGAAGCCCTAATCCCGCGCATCCTTGAAACTCTACGTAGAAAAACTTGAATAAACGTCCATGTAAACTAAGCTGGGTCCCTGATCCCCATGAGACTTCAAGCCGAAGTCCTAGATTTTATTGGAGGGAAGCAAGTAGCGCGAACTTAGGCTGCCGAAGCTCGGTAAAAGCGCGATAGGCCAAATGCCACAGAAACAGACTGATATCTTGAGCACATGGTGTTCAAGCCTAAAGAGTTCACTGCCAAAGCCTGGCCCAGCATTCGCTGCAGGATTGTCCTTAAAACGGCTCCCAGGGATGGTCTGTGCCCAACCTCAATCAACCTCAATCAACCTCAAAGCCTCAAGAGCACGAAAGACCGTTGTGGTTCGTGTCGGGGCGTCGCACTTCTTATCTACATCCTTCAGATATTCTGAGCACAAGTATACTTGGAAGGGAGCAGAAGCTCGTCGCAGGCTTCCTCCGACCGCTTGAGGCTGAAGTCGGGCCACCATGTTCGACCCCAGGCTTGAAGGCCTGAGCAAACATTCAACCAGTAACATCTATCAAAACCTCTTGTTGCTGACACTAGACCTCGACCATGCGCACATTATTCCGATGTTGTAAAAACTTAAAACCTACCAAGAAAGGTGACCTAGACAACTGCACGACAAGGATCGGCGCCACAAACATCGCCCTGGACCGCGACCCTGTTGCCGCTTGGATCAGCGTGGGGCATGGGCCTGAACGGGTTCAATCCTCAAAAGGCTTGAGCCATTAAACGGTTTTCGTGACCGCCTCCACCCCGTCACCTCAGTGCAAAGTCGAGCGAGCGGCTCCTCACTCCAAGATCGAGCCGCCTGGTGCTCGGCAGACTCGGCATTCGTGTTTCACCTCGCGAGCCAAGGTCAGCTCCGAATGCTACACATCCCACAACCTTCGCCACTTGGCGTTGCAAACCGTTTTCAAAAGGTTGTGGGCTGGGCGTTCGAGGTGTTTGACGCGCACGGTTCTGGCCAGAGGGTCAAGGTACTCGTATCTAATTGGGGGCAACCAGAAACGGTTGGATGGTCTTTTCGGCATTGTTTCGGACTGCAGTATGACAGCACCTCAGTTTTGTTTGAGCTATCGATTTGTGCATAGACCTCGCGCACGCGCGCACGCGCGCGCGCGCACGCACGCACGCACGCACGCACGCACGCACGCACGCACGCACGCACGCACGCACGCACGCACGCACGCACGCACGCACGCACGCACGCACGCACGCACGCACGCACGCACGCACGCACGCACGCACGCACGCACGCACGCACGCACGCACGCACGCACGCACGCACGCACGCACGCACGCACGCACGCACGCACGCACGCACGCACGCACGCACGCACGCACGCACGCACGCACGCACGCACGCACGCACGCACGAACGCACGCACGCACGCACGCACGCACGCACGCACGCACGCACGCACGCACGCACGCACGCACGCACGCACGCACACACACACACACACACACACACACACACACACACACACACACACACACACACACACACACACACACACACACACACACACACCCACACACTCGTGCAATCCTCCCTCTGGACTGGTAATTGTCGAACTCAGTCTTTCAATCATAGAGGTAAAGGATTAGCCGCAAGGGCAGTTACTTCTAGAGTGGGGTGCTTGGCTTAGCCCCTTGCCACATCAGATGCAAGTACGAGGTATATGATGGCCAATCCAGCTGTGCTTCCAGCACCCAGGAACTGACCTGCAGGTACGTTTGCCTGTCCATCTGACACAGAGCTTCGTTGGCGCGAGCTGTGTCAGAGGACCCCGCGCCCCCTGCATGAAAGTATACGAATGAATCATTGAAACCTTGGCAAACAGGTGTTCCACACACACACCCCGCTTTGCGGGGTAGCCAGCAGGCTTGTGTGTTCGGCTCTTGCGGAAAAAGAAAAACAAAAAAGAAAAGACAGAGGTCTGAAGGAGGGCGGGCGGTTGGCTGTGTAGCCTTAAAAGCAAAGTAACGGAAACGAAAAGTAAAGGAGTTGCAGCTGGAGGCCGCCCTTCGGGCTTGAAAAAACCTCTCAGGCTGCGAGCATTGAAATAGAAAGGAACTGTGACTGTGAAATGACACATGCGGAAAAAACAAATAAGGGGTGGCCCACATTGGGCACTTCAAACCCCATTAGAGGATTGCGCTTGCAGTTCGCAGGTCTTACAGAATGCCGCAGCCCTGCAGCGCATATCCTATTAATACGGTCAAGCATCCACAGTTCGCAGGTCTTACCAAAATGCCGCAGCCCTGCGGTGCTTGCCGACCGACAGCTGAAACAGCCAGGGCGTTTAAGAGAGCAGCGTGGGTGTGACGGCCAATGATACCCCCATTGTTCCGTTTCTGAGCGCAGTCTTCTGGATCCTGTGACAGCTGTGAATCTGAATGGTGTCCAGGGGAGAACATTCTCGGACCGATCAGGGTCCTTCACTGACGGCTGTTTTGAAACGAAGAGGTTCAGTCCCGTCGACAACTAGGCGATCAGGCCTAAAACTGAGATGTGATTTCTCCGAAGAGCATTTGCAGTTCCGAGACCAAGAGGTCTTGATTCAGGAAGCCGATCAGGGCGCAGACCGATCAGGGTCTATGATTGTAACTGGGCCGATCAGGGCCAATGCAGTAGGCTACCCTACCGTAGACGGCACGATCGACGAAAGCCGTCTAGAGCACACTCGTGCAATCCTCCCTCTGGACTGGCAATTGTCGAACTCAGTCTTTCAATCATAGAGGTAAAGGATTAGCCGCAAGGGCAGTTACTTCTAGAGTGGGGTGCTTGGCTTAGCCCCTTGCCACATCAGATGCAAGTACGAGGTATATGATGGCCAATCCAGCTGTGCTTCCAGCACCCAGGAACTGACCTGCAGGTACGTTTGCCTGTCCATCTGACACACAGCTTCGTTGGCGCGAGCTGTGTCAGAGGACCCCGCGCCCCCTGCATGAAAGTATACGAATGAATCATTGAAACCTTGGCAAACAGGTGTTCCACACACACACACACTCGTGCAATCCTCCCTCTGGACTGAGCATAGTCTGTAGAATCAGTCATACAACACAGAGAGTCGGACTTGTAGAGGATTTAGGCTTACCTCTGGCCTCTCAAGATCTGCATCCACAGCAAACGTTAGGGGTTTGTGGCTTAGCCCCTTTGCCATTCCGGAAATCACTCACAACAGAGTGTGGCCACCAGCTGGAGTTCTTCTCCCCAGGTGCACCACTGCAGGTACGTTTTCACTGCAAACACAGAAGCGTCTTCGTTGGCTGGAGACTTCTGTGATGCACTCCAGCCCCCTGCAAGAACTATGCAAATCAGCAAACCTTGGCAAACAGGTGTTCCCCGCAAAGCGGGGTAGCCTTTGATGGCGTCACAGTATTGACAGGCATCAGGGCACATTTTGTACTACCGCCAAGTCGGTGTTGTGTAACACAGAACACGGGTGGTTGCGAGTCCCATTGATGGGTACGCAGCCTTACATACTGTTAAAGAAAATGATGGCCAGCGGGGATGCTGGCAAGAACGAATTAGGCGTGCAACAGTGAACTTTCACGGAGAAGTGTTCCTCTTTCTTTTTCGAGGAGACTCAGAGCAATCAGTGCGATTGGAAGGAGCACTGGTAGTCTCGGGCTGATATGAGCTTGAGCTCCACAACCTGTCCGCAGTAAGGCGAGTTTGGATCCAATGTTGTGTCGCAGGGAACCACGTTTTCCACCAATGGTCTTGACCATCAGCTGCCGTGCTTTTAAACCAATAGAAACGCCATGAAATCTGCGGAGAACGAGATCGGCTCCGGTCCGACATGATGTACTCAGTACACTCCACTGAAAGCCACAGACTACGGAGGTAATTCTTTCATCAGCGGAATAGTTGGAAACAGAGATCTTCTGCGATCAGCCTTGATTTTTCAGCGTCGCAACCAGATGATTATGGCATATCAGCCAGGGGTGAAATGACACGGAACACTCGCAGATCGGAAATAAGGGTAGAGCTCACTCGAAATCGATCTTCGCGACCGGTGCAGAGCCAATCGAAAAAGATGGCTTTCTGCTGAGATTGCAGTAGCAATTGCCGAAAAGCGATGTACAGTGTCCCTTCATAGAGATAAAGGACAGACCGAAAGAAGACTCGGTTGACCGCACCATAAAAGGTGATCTGTGGCATTGGTGCCGAGTTGTACATTACAGGTACATAGAGTACATTGGGCCAGCCAGGTGGCTGCGCTGGGCACTCCCTTTGTACAAAATGTTCGCGAATGGAACCATAATTAAGGCTTCCAAGTGCGAGTGAAGTATCGGCAGGCAGAACAGAGCGAAAGCGTTGACGAATGCGATCAGAAATGACACGAGCCGCACTGTCCGGATAAGGCTCTTCTGATTCAGAAGAATCATCAAGCTCAAGTTGATCGCGATCTTCTTCGGTCCAAAAGGCCGGATTGTAGTAGAAGAAGAAGATGTGCTTTCGCGATGAAACAAATGACACCACTCTAGCCACAATGGCAGGTTCGGACACAACCAGCGAAAGGGCCGACATGTGGCTTTGTAGAGAGAGTGGATTACTGAATAAAGCCGAGGTAGCCTGCAGTTCATGAAAATTGTCGCAGGTTTTCGGCAGAAAATCGATCAAAAAAGATCGGCTTTTCTGACTGACATGAGGGAGCTGTAAAGGGCTTTA